CTGACCTGTTCAAGGATGACCGAGGACAATCTTGGGGCTTGTGAAAAAAACAGAGAAAAACAGGGGAGCATTATCTCTCGACAAGGCATCCGTGGCCCTGTTCTGGACCCCGCGATATGATCCGCCCGTAGCGACACCCCCAACCTTACCAAGAGCAACGCGAGTACTCTGAGGAGATGATTGAGAAGGGGATCTTTGGCAGAGCCCATATTAAGGCACTGTACTATGGCCATGTTGTCGCAGTAAGCCCGAATGGTGCCCCCCGGCCAACTGCTCCCCCAGACGGCCAAGCCGGCCACGATCGGGACCAACTCTTTTGCTGGAGCCACTCGGCCGAGCCGAGCACAAAAGCTCCACAGCCCCACTGGCCCGATGCGTCTGAGTACAGCGTTGCTCGAAGGGGGCCTCCAGGGAAGAAGCCCACGCCGTTCCAAGCAAGGAGGAACTCCTGCCACCACACTATGTCCCCGCGACACTGGAGGTTTAGCCGTACCTTTTGATTCTGCCTTTGCGGGATCATCATTGCGTCTATCAGGCTTCGCAGGAATGGGCGGCCAGGCCTCACGACCTTGGCCACGTGGCTCAAGAGGCCTATGAGTGACTGAAGCTGCCTCTTAGTGGCAGCACGCTTATCGCCCCAGCTTCTCAGCTCCTGACGGAGCCAGACTAGTTTGTCGTCGGGGAGCCTGACTTCCTGCCCGGCGGAGTCTATCAGAATGCTGAGGAACACGATTGTAGTAGCGGGGCCTACCACTTTCTGGGCAGCCACAGGGAGCCCGAGCTTGAGGCACAGCAGCACGGCCGTGGACAAGGCGCAGGCGCAGTTAGGGGAGTTTGCCTCGGACCAAAAAAAGAAGTCGTCGAGGTAGTGCAGAGAGTTTACTACCCCCTCACACTGCAAGGCCCATGAAAGGCCATCGGCCACTGCAGTAACGAGCTTCGGGGCCGAACGTAGCCCAAAGGGAAGAGCTTTACACAAAATGTATAGCCTTCCCATGACATCCCAAGCAAAGGCTGGTCGTCCGAGTGTACGGGGACCCTGCGGTACGCTGATTTAAGGTCTAGCTTAGCCATCAGAGCCCCGCGCCCACACTGACGAACCCGAGCGACTGCCTCATCCACGGAGGAGTAAGAGAGTGAGCACAGCTCCGGATCAATGCCGTCATTCACGCTGGCCCCGTGGGGAGAGGACAGGTCGACAATAAGGCGGAACTTCCCGGGTTGTCCGCCCTTCGGGATAAGACCGATTGGGCTAGTATGAACCACCTTAGCGGGCAAAGCCAAGCAGATACTGGCTTGCCTGAGCTCCTCCTCAATGTACTCCCTGACAGCCACCGGGTGCTCCTCAACAGAAGCGGTTCCCCTTAGCTGACCGTAGCGGTGAGGAACGGTTGAACCCAACGTGGAAGCCCTCCCGCATACCCCGGCGGAAAAACTGAGCTAAAGCCTTGTCGGGCAAGCTGGCTAAGTATGGCTCCCATTCGCCGGGCGGCAAAAAACCGTGGACCCTCGCTGTTGAGATCACCTCGGCTGGCTGAAATGACTCGAGGATCTCCAGGTTCCTGGTATACGGATACTGCTCTAGCCGCCAAGGGGCTAATTCTAAAATGGAAAAAAATTAATTGATTACCACGTCATTGAACCACAAAAAAGAGCAAAATCAAAGCAAAAGTTAAACAAAGTTGTGTAATTGATCAATTAGGTCCCGACTCAGCGATCCTAGGCTGTTGGGGACTTGTTGCACTCTGAGGCCGGGTGGCCTGTCTTGCCGCACGAGCTGCACGAGTGGAGGAACCTGCAATTCTCTGCTGAATTAGGGCAAGAGCCTGAATTAAAGCGGCAACAGTACTCTCCAGGGGCGGAGTACGACCTGTACCTAGGTGAGGCCTTCTTAGGTTCTGTTCCACTAGCATTGAGGCTTCCCAGAGTGCACTCCACTCTTCCGTGGTTCCACGATAAGCACAAGGGGCAGTTTCGGCCCCCTGGGGCCGGGGCTGAGCCTAAGACAGTAGCTGATAGTAGTGAGGGATTAATCTCCACCCAACAGAGTGGAGTCCCAGCAGCCACTTGCTGGCGGAATCTCCGATCATATGCGAGCCAGCCTGTCCCCCCGTGGGACTGGGCTAGCTGAATAATAATTTGTGCGTAAGCGAGCAGCTCACGGACACGAGTCTCCGGACACAGCACGGCCATGAAGGACAGGTAACAGTACACCCAGGTAACTGGGTCGGCCATGTCTCTCATCCTGGACCGGGTACTCGCCTACGATCCCACTGCCCCCAGCTCCCTAAGCTGGGCAACCAATGCCACATTATCGGACAAAAGTTCCTTAAAGTCAATAAATTGTCCTATCAGGATTTTTTCAACTGCCCTGCCAGGGATCGGGGGCAGGGCTGACGCCAGGACTAATGGGGGAGTGGCAGGGGGAGAAGCCACCACCAACAAATCTGCCAACCAGGCTGGAGAGGGATCAGAGACTGCAGCAGCTGGTAGTCCCAGTCCACTAGGGGGACCTGATCCTCCAGTGGGAGGGATTGTTGTTCCCCGCCCCCAGATGGCAGGTGAGGAGTTGCCCCTGGTCCTTCAGGAGGTATGAGGGCTCCAGGCAGCGGAGCAGCAAGATCCAAAGGACCGGAGGTCCTACCAGGAAATGGAACACCACCTACCAAAGAAAGGGAGTATTAAAACCATAGCCCCAGTTTGTCAGACAACAGAGTTGCTTCTGGCTCCAGAGAGGAGGCCCAATGCCCAGGCCCCCGGAGGGCGGGACTCTGGCCTCTGCTCCGGAGGGCAGGACCCAGATAATGAACCTCGAGGGTGAGGCGGCACCAGAGGGCAAATGGCAGGGGAAGGGGTCGAAACCCCAAGAGTACCCTAGTATTGGGAGTCAGGCCCCAGAGGGGCAGGACCAATCATAGCAAAGAAAAACAGAGTTGTGAGGGTGAGGAAGCCATCCAAATAATATTTTTATACTAATTAGCAACCACAACCGCCTATTCCCTCACCCCCACCACAGCCCAGCAGGGGGGGCAGAGGTGTGACAAGGCAACAATGTGGCAACAGATAGGTCAACACAGGGAAGACCACTGCAAAAGTCTGAGTAACTAAGGACGACTGCCTGTCACCGCTCCCAAATCGGCTTCACCCACCACTCCCCCTCCCCACGCTTACCCACCTCCCTACACTCCCCCACCTCCCTACCTCTTCCCTCACGTGGGTTAACCGGGAGGGTTGTCCACTAACCACTGTGCTGTGGCTGCGAGGGACCCTCTGATACGTCACACCAAGTCCCACCCCCAGAAAGCTCCCACTACTACCCCATAACTCACCCCTAGCTGGTGGGAGTGACGCAGTTGAAGGGATCGGAGCTACCACACTTGGGGCAGGAGCTACACCACTTGCACTGACTCCTGGGAGAACTGGAGGGCGACCTAACGCACCGCCAGCAGCCACCATTCCCTTGGCAATGGCCCTCGATATGAGGGTAGCCAGAGCTCCCATGGACAAGTCTGCTGAGGCTGAAGAAGATCCAGAGACCCCGCTTGATCTGGAGCCACTGCCGGAGCCCCCCGGACGAGAACTGCCTGCCCCAGAGCTACCTGCTCTGGGGCTACTAACTGAACCAAACGCACTGGTTCCAGAGCTCAGACTCGGTACTGTGCCCAGGATACTAGTAGTTGAGAGAGGAGTAGAAGTCTCAGCCACCACTGCCGCCAGAGTACCCGTGGGGACGGTCCTCGGTGCCAAGGAGAAAGCCATCACTCAATATAGATCTATATGGATATCGATGAGAAAGCAACAAAATCTCGCAGCAAAGCAGACTACTCCACTTCGGAATTCAGAACTGCCTTGCTACGTGTATGACACTGGCTCATATAGGCTCGCTGCTCAAGTTAACTTTGATTAACCATAATAACTTAATCATCATTGATTGTATTGTTGCTAAGCAAAAAAATTGCTGACTAGGCGGTTTGTTACCTTTTGACCACAAAATTCTTGATTTTTTCCATTAAAATTAGAATAACTCCAAGAAGAAAGTTCTGATGAAAAAGAAACTTAACTATCAAGAAGTTCAATGTTTTGCACTGTTAATTATTATTTATTTGGTATATTTAGATTAATATGTTGAGTGCTATAGCGCTTTTGCCCATAAAATTGCTGTTTTCTCCCTTTAATGAAGACAATTGTAGCTAAACTCTAAAAAGCTTGTCAGAATATAAAAGAACTTTCAAGTACCTATGGAATGATATGAGGCAACACTAGAATAGCAAAAGCATGACAGCTGTAGAGGCGAAAAGGTGTCAAAAAAGATGCCGAATTTGTGTACCCATAACTGGTTGAAAAATAGCTCTATAGAAACAAAAACCCTGGTATTAGTAGCCTTAAACTTTCTATGTGGAACAGAAGATATATCATAAGCAAGCGCTATCTAACAGTCGCACAATATTCCTTCAAAATCCTTTCTGCACAACAACTACTGTGGAGGAGATGGGGAGTGCAGATAAATACGGACGTTGCCAACGAGGTAACCAGGGGTGATGAAAACCGCATCACTGGGCGGGAACGATAGTTTCCAATCCCTTTCATTTACTCTAATATCTATGGCGACGTGCGGGTGGAGCATGGCTTAATTGAGCCACACCTTCATTGCAGCCACACTGCAGCAGTGCAGCAAGCATGTTGGAACTTCTTCTCTGTCTAAAAAACAAAAAAATCACTGTCTCAAAACATTCACCAAGTTTTTACATGCTGAAGCTTCTTTTCTGTTTCAAAACTTTCACTAATTATTTTTCTCTTAATTTATTAAAATTGTTACACATAGGTTGTGGTGAGGGTATGCACTTTAGTGCTCTTGTTACCCGAGCCCACGCGTAGGCGTGGAAGCATAGATACTACATATACCAAGTGGATATGAAACAGGAAGTGCCTATGCTCTTTTCGCCGGATGTGATGTTTATCCTAGCTACACTTAGCAACCAAAATGGTGGCAAAATCAATAATTATAAAAAACTTCATAAAAATCTATATTTCTTCTGAAAAGAGTCAGTACAAGAAACAACAGACAATTTATCTTCATTGGTTTCATATTCATACCCTATTTGATGATCAAAAAAATAATATTATAATAATAGTTTTATCATTCTAATATGGTATGTCACAATCACATTAAGTAACTTTTTTTGAAGAAACATAGCTTTAAAATAATTAAGAAAATATACAAACCGTACAAAAGGCATGTACATAGACACATACAAAATTATACCTCTTCAAATAGCACAGTTTTCCAGAAAAGGCGTTTACAAAACAGACCATAAACAAACTAAAAAATGGATATATTTACATTTTATAAAACTGCAGTGGAAAGCTAGTAGTTACAGACCATGTAACACAATAATATCCTTCTTCTACCCAAATAACACTTACTAACTCTGCCCAAGATTGGAGAAAAGGTGTTTGAAGTCAGAATTATAGGCCACCATGTTTTACAGCACAAAGAGATCCAGTGATCAAGCAAACAAGGATTCAGCAGGTCATTCGACCTAATAGAGACTTCATAATACTTACTTCAACTCAGGAAAGTAGTAACCTGAACAAGAACCCAAAACTTTGAGAAACAAGGCCACTGAGGCTACGCTAGAGCGAAAAGAGCGTAGGCATACTGCTCGTGACGTCACCAATATAATTTCATGTACAATCCACTTACTACGGTTTCGCATCCACTTGGTATATATAGTATCTATGGTGGAAGCGATAAGGGGTGCCATTTGAGTCAAAATTGAAGTTATAGCTAACTAGCAGATTCAAATGATATCAAAAGATGTGCAACAACTTCAATGAATTTAAGCTAAATGTGCCTAAAATTCACAAAATTTCATACATTTAGGCAAATATCCATTGATTTAAGTTAAATGCACGGACATTTAGGTTAATATTCATAAAAGTACAGACATTAAGTAAATATCCATTGATTTAAGCTAAATGCATGAACATTTAGGTAAAAGTACAGACATTTAGGTAAATATCTATTGATTTAATTAAGCTAAATGCACGGACATTTAGGTTAATATTCATAAAAGTACAGACATTTAGGTAAATATCCATTGATTTAAGTTAAATGTACAGACATTTGGGTTATATTACAAAATATACAGACATTTAGGTAAATATCCATTGATTTAAGCTAAATGCACAGACATTTAGGTTATGAATATAAAAGTACGGACATTTAGGATTTAAGTTAAATGTAAGTTAAATGTACAGACATTTAGGTCAATATTCATAAAAGTACAAACATTTACATGCATAGGTTAATATTTCCAAAATATACAGACATTTAGGTAAACAAGTAAATACAAAAAAAATTTCAAAAAAAAGATTTGGTAGGATTCTCTTTGTGCTAATTTATCAAAAAAGTGATGAAAACAAGGACAAGTAGGATTCTGAATGACCCTGCAATTATTCCGAAGGACTGACTACCCATACGCCATACCAATGAAAATATGAAACAAAAATTCTACTCTCGTGACACAAATTCTATTCTACATTGCAAGGTGATCTGTAATTTCTTACATAATAGTATTGAAAGTACAGTTTAGAGTAAAATTTGTGTCACGAGAGTAGGATTTTCACTTCGTATTTTTGTTGGTATGGATTTGGAATAATCGGTCATTCAGAATCCTACTAGTCCTTGTGTTTCCATTACTTTTTGACAAATTAGCCCAAAGAGAATCTCACTCAATCTTTTTTTGAAAATTTTTTGTATTTATTATTATTTATACATTCATGCAATGTAAGATCTAAGTTAGATCTTACTGAATTTTGATACTTATATATTTTAATTGATAAGTTTTTGTAAAATCAAACATCTTGCTTAATATTGCAAGATCATAATTGATCCTTTTATGTAAGAAAATGTGAGATCTTTGTTCCCAAATCATGGATGATCTTAAAATCTTACATTAAGATTATTATGAATCATTGAGGATCATGTAAGGTACCATGAAAGATCTTTGTTCCAAAATCATGGATAATCTTAAAACAAGATCTTTCAAGATCTTACATTAAGATTATTATGTGATCATTGTGGATCATGTAAGATTTCATGAAAATTCTTTGTTCCAAAATCATGGATGATCATGAAATAAGATTATGGATGAATCATTTAAGATCTTCAATTAAGATCAACAAATGATCACTATAGATCCTGCAAGATCATTGTTCCAAAATTTTGTAAGATCTTTAAATATCTTGACTAAGATTTTACAATAAAAATCAGGCATGTCTGATTTTGATAAGAATTTTTATGAGGGTAGCCATTTTTGCACATGCCCTTGATAAATATGTGAGGAGCAATGGGTGGAGTTAGCAGACAATTTGTGTACGCATGACATAATACGTGAAAACACAAGATATTTATGTAAATGTTTCTACATTTAAAATTTCATCTAAATGTCCATGCATTTAGCTTAAAGCAATGGATATTTACCTAAATGTCTGCACTTTTATGAATATTAACCTAAATGTCTGAGCATTTAGCTTAAATCAATGGACATTTACCTAAATGTCTGTATATTTTGTAAATTAACCTAAATGTCTGTACATTTAACTTAAATCAATGGATATTTACCTAAATGTTTGTACTTTTATGAATATTAACCTAAATTTCCGTGCATTTAGCTTAAATCAATAGATACTTACCTAAATGTCTGTACTTTTACCTAAATGTCCGTGCATTTAGCTTAAATCAATAGATATTTACCTAAATGTCTGTACTTTTACCTAAATGTCCGTGCATTCAGCTTAAATCAATAGATATTTACCTAAATGTCTGTACTTTTATGAATATTAACCTAAATGTCCGTGCATTTAACTTAAGGAAGTGGATATTGGTCAGGCAGCCGGACGCCTACTTCAGGGCTATTGATCCGGCACCGGTAGTCCGTTGTTCTCCGTAAAACAGCTTGTGCGCATGCGCAATAGTGCAAAATGGAACTTAGTCTTTTTATCAAGAAACCCTAATCCCAAAACCCTACAATCCCGGAGGCTAAGATGTACAAGAGGGTGCTCTAAAAACTAAACACTAAACCCCAATCCCAACCCTACGACCCCGGAGGCTAAGATGTACGAGAGGGTGCTCTAAAAACTAAACCCCAATCCCAACCCTACGACCCCAGAGGCTAAGATGTACGAGAGGGTGCTCTAAAAACTAAACACTAAACCCCAATCCCAACCCTACGACCCCAGAGGCTAAGATGTACGAGAGGGTGTTTATTTTTTAAAAAAGGAAAAAATAGTGATTTAAAAAAAGAAAAAAAAATCAAACATTGCAGCATAGTTTTAGTCAATAGTCCCGACAGGATTCGAACCGCTGACCCCATCCGTGCAATCCAAGCCAGTCTCTCCACTACACCACCGCAACTCTGCTGCATCAACATTGCTGATTGTCGTATTTATACTTGACATCTGTATATAAAATCGTGTATTAGTATACTGGGGCTTCGCTCCAGTATACTATATAGGGACTGCCGGACCAATAGCCCTGAAATAGGTGTCCGGCTGCTGGACCAATATCCACTTCCTTAACTTAAATCAATGGATATTTGCCTAAATGTATGAAATTTTGTGAATTTTAGGCACATTTAGCTTAAATTCATTGAAGTTGCTGCACATCTTTTGATATTATTTGAATCTGCTAGTTATAACTTCAATTTTGACTCAAATGGCACCCCATAAAGCGAGGGTAAAGCAGTCGTCCTGTCTGTGTGTGTGTTCGCTTGGCCTCCACTTTTGAGCTGACACTGCTTTCTCGTCTAGTCCTGGAGAGTCTTATAATCAACACTGGCTCTAGAAAAAGTTATTCTCCGCCGTCTTGGGAATGTTATATTTTTCTTTTCCGTGGAAAAAGAAGCTGGCAAAGTCGCCAAACGTAGCCTGGTTCCCCGACAACTTTTTCATAGTGTGAGCAAAAGAGCAACTGGGCAGATAAAACAATAAAGCAAAGCCTCATTTTTCATTAATATGAGAGGAATTGCTCTAATCATCTTCGTTTTAAAGCAGGCTTGGGGCGAGTACTTTGGTACTCGTACTTAAGCATGCTTAAGCACAAGTTTGAAAGTACTCGGTATTTACTCAAGTACTTTTGAACAAAAATTACAAATACTCGTACTGTATTTAAATACTAGTATGTTTAAGAGTACTTACAAGTACATTGAAGCAGGCTTGGGGTCAATTACAATTATAATTGCAATTACAGTGTCAATTACAATTACAGTGCGTAATTGTAATTGTAATTGGGTTATACATATTGTAATTGCGTAATTGTGACTGTAATTGTGCCTACAATCTTACTCTGATATTCTACCTATATCAGTCCTCTAGAGTGAATTTTCAGCATAGTAAGCCTGATTAATGTTCACTGATTAACAAAACTTTTAAAAACTGAATGCAATGTGGTAAAACATCATTGTTATTTATGTGATGATACAAGTAAAATTAAGATCATTGTAATTAATGCTGCAATTGCAAGGTATTGCCATTGTAATTGTAATTGAGTGTCTCATCTATGACAGTAATTGTATTTGTAATTGATCTGGTTTTAGCTGCTTTGGTAGTAATTGTAATTGTAATTGAAATGAAATTTTGTAATTGACCCCAAGCCTGCATTGAAGTACTTTGAAGCACATTAATCAATGCAATGCTAATGTGTTGACATAATAAATACTAGCTAGTGTAAACCACATACATTTACCTCCTGTGGGTCCCATACTATGACATTGGTCACTTTGGATTTGAAAAGTTCATAGATGTAATAACCATCTGATTTAATTTATTAATTTTTAAAATAACTTATTAATTATTTGGGTGTGGTCAAGTGCTTAAGTAGAACTTCAGTACTGCAATAGAGTACTCGTACTCATACTGAATACAATTGTAAAAATGAGGGATTTGTACTCGTACTCATTTAAAAAATCAAACAGGTACTTGTAATGTACTTAAATACTTTTTAAAGTACTTCGCCCCAAGCCTGTTTTAAAGATATGGTAGCCCAAAAAGTCATACTTTTGTGAGTTTACACGAGGCTCTCTTCTCCCGAAGTAGCGGCCAGAGTCTTTAAACATCAGGGGCTCAATAGACGTTTGTATGCAACAAATAGAGCCTAACAAATGTATGCTAAACTGTTTAAAAGTTGAGAAAAACTAAGCTTTCTTCACCACTTAGAGCCATGTGCCACCGGCATTACTGTGTGTGCGGGTGGAGCATGGCTTGATTGAGCCACACCTTCATTGCAGCCACACCTTTACATTGCTGCAGCAGTGCAGCAAGCATGCTGGAGCTTCTTCTCTGTCTAAAAAACAAAAAATTCACTGTCTCAAAACATTCACTAAGTTTTTACATGCTGAAGCTTCTTTTGTGTCAAAATTTTCACTAATTATTTTTCTCTTAATTTATTAAAATTGTTACACACAGACTGTGGCGAGGGTATGCACTTTAGTGCTCTCGTTCATTCATTCATTCTGTACAACTGATATTTGTCTTTAATAAACAATAACTTTAGCACAGCGTGTTCTAAGTTCCTAGATCTTTCTTTTTGACTTGGAAA